CTTACACAACTATAAGAGCAACAATGAAGAAGTGCTGTAGGTGAGTGTAGCGGTGGAGCCAGAGAGGCAATTGCAGATTAGGAAGGGAAGTGGAGATTAAATAGTTGAGTTTTTAGTGGTTTCTTGAAGACAGCGAGTGACTCTGCTGTTCTGATGCAGTTAGGGGGTTCATTCCACCAGCTGGGCAGATTGAATACGAGAGTTCGGGAAAGTGATTTCTTCCCTCTTTGGGATGGAACCACGAGGCGACGTTCATTCACAGAACGCAAGTTTCTGGAGGGCACATACATCTGCAGAAGTGAGAGCAGATAAGAAGGAGCAAAGCCAGAAGTCACTTTGTAGGCAAACATCAGAGCTTTGAATTTGATGCGAGCAGCAACTGGCAGCCAGTGCAAACGGATGAGCAGCGGAGTGACATGTGCTCTTTTAGCTTCATTAAAGACCACTCGTGCTGCTGCGTTCTGGAGCAGCTGAAGAGGCTTGATAGAGTTAGCTGAAGCCAGGCTAGTAGAGAGTTGCAGTAATCCAGTCTGGAGAGAACAAGAGCTTGAACAAGGAGTTGAGCTGCATTTTCAGATAAGAAGGGTCGGACCTTTCTGATGTTATAGAGTGCGAATCTGCACGATCGAGCAGTTCTAGAGATGTGTTCAGAGAAGTTTAGTTGGTCATCAATCGTTACTCCAAGGCTTTTCACCATTTTGGATGCAGTAATGGTTGCCCCGTCCATCTATATTAATAAAACTTATGCAATCTGCTCTCTGAAATAAGAGTAAAGACTGCCCCCTGCTGCTGGTTCAAAGAGAAAATGTATTGATATGAACTTTTTAGATCAAACGTGTGCAATCGCTTTAGTACAGTTTGTGTATGATACTAGTCATGCACATTGAGACGTTTTTAAAGGAATAATACATTTCTGCAGTCATGAACATGTTTGGATCACTAATATGCGGGTGATTTGATGCTTCATAAAAGTTGCAGACGCCTTTACCAGTATCAAATGCTTTTGTGATGAATTTAAACGTCCAGTTATTCTTTACACCGATTAAGAAACCGGCTACTGTAACACTACTATAATCAAGAAAAATCCGTAAAACTAAATAAATTGCTAAATACTCTGTACTGTAAAGCCTGCAAGTTATTGCGTGTCATATTTAACAAACCGTTTACTATGAATTTTCTGTAATTCAGCTCACATGAATAATTGAATATTAATCAGATGATGTCATTACGCTGCTGTGCCGTCAGCCAATCGCTGCATTGCTGATCATGATTTGGAGGATGGATAGATCAGTCCTTCACAACACACACATATCTCAGATCAGTTTATCCAGACACTTTAATCTGATTCACCAACTTGTTTGAGGAACCAAATCAGCTCAGATCATTTAAGCGAGGTATGAAGAACGGACCCCAGTTCTGTTAAAATGCACCAAATATCATCATCTATATTCACTGAGTAATCTATAAGCGCAGGATATACACACACAGATGTGGTTGCTGATTTATTCTCAGCTGTGCATCTCAGTTGTTTATTAGTCATCTTCTGGTACTGATAATTCTTTTATCATTTGTACCGCTGCTGCTGTGACGGAGCATCTAGTCATTTGTCTGTAAACTGCTGTATTGTAGAAGAGTAAACTAGAGTCCAATAAATGAGTTCGAGTGCTTCACATCATAATGGGGTCATCATGTGAGGCGTCATGTGAAGCGGCGGCAGGACGGAGAGAATAGAGGCTCTGTGTGACTCTAAACCATGAACATTATCAGAACCATTAATCATCATTAAACACACACACACACACACACACACACACACACACACACATACACACACACACACACACACATATACCGATAATCACACACATGCTTGCATAGATACACACACACATATTCCATACATTCTATACTTCATACATGTGTCATAGGATAGAACCCGGTTCTCTGGTGTAAAAGGAGATTCACAAACCAATGAGCTACTGGAAGTTATGTGCACACATGATACACTCTACACATATACACACGATACACTCCATACAAATACATTTAATACACACATGATATAATCAATACAAATACACAAACATGATACAATCCATACAAATACACACACATGGTACACTCCATACATATGCACACATGATTCACTCCATACACATGCACACATTATAAACTGTACACATATACACAGCATAAAAATACATTCTATACACACGATACAAACTATACTTATGCAACTATGATACACTCCATACATATGCACACATAAAACATTCTGTACTTATACACACAAGGCACAATATACACTCTATACACTTACACAATACACTCCAAACATATGCACACATTATACATATACAATCAATACACTATATATATATATATATATATATATATATATATATATATATATATATATATATATATATATATATATATATATATATATATATATATATATATATATATATATATATATATATATATATATATTTTTTTTT